TATGCTTCCAATTTAAAACTATGATTATCGTTAACTTTAGCTATATTTTTATCTGCAAAAGTTAGCTTTATTATATGATTTCAAAAGTTACCCATATTATATTTAGCTTTTGAGATAAAATTTACAAAAATAACTTTATAGAAAGCTTTGCAAATAGCAATATTATCTGAATAAATTTAACGTTTACATGGTTTGAGATATACATTTGATACCATTAATTGAAATTAATTAAAATAGGTATCTTTCTAATCAAGTTCTAGACAATAATAATCATCTGGTATTTTTATCTAATGGTTAACTATTATTCGATGAAATGATATGATAAAAGATATTAGTGAGTGTCCCTAAATAAAAAAAAATAAAATGAGAAACGACTGAAAACGAACCATTGAGGACCAACAGATTCCTTTCCAACAATATCATCATCGAGAGTGATGCGTATCTGTCCTTGAAAATAACTGTTAAAACCTGGTAAAACATCATGCCAAAGTGACATTCGCAATTGTACTCGTTGCGTCCTTTGATTATCATCAAGGAACGTTCCATCACATTCCATGAACAACGTTTCTACGCTTTCCTAATTCAGAAGAAATATAAAAACAGAAATACTTCTATTCATTTCACACTAAACATTTTCATTCTCCAAAAATTAAAAGAATAATTTTGAATTGAAAAAGATAATTTTAATCAAATTTAATTTAAGTTAATTATAAAAACATTTAGAATGGATAAATAGCTATTAGTAGGCTATAAAATATAGGTATGCAAAATTTAAAAGCTAAATAATATGTTTATTTAGTAAATTTGAAAAAAAAAAAAAGCGCTTGCTAGACGAAAAAGCTCTATGGATAAATTAATGAATTTAATGTTTCAATTTGATTCAAATTATGTACTTTCAATCCATGAACTTTTTCTTTAATCATTCAAAATATTTTAATAGCTTACTATTTAATAGCTTTATTAGCTTACTCTGTTAATGCCAATGTTTAACTTTTTGGATTGCACAACTCGTGTTCCCACCTGTAGTGTTACCAGTAGGTACAGATCCGCTGGTTCGCATATATTTAATCCCGTATAGTCTATCACCCTGTAGAAAATAGGAACGGTAATTTATAGAACAGTTTCAAGCATACAAAAATAGTACGGCAAGAAATTAGCTGCCTTGCAAGCATAAATTATTACTATTAATTAATGCAAATTTAATAATGAAAGAGATGAAATTTGTCACAAAAATTAAAAATTGATTCAATTGCCTTAATTAGTAACAGATAGAGAGAGAGAGAGAGAGAAAAAGAGAAAAGAAAAAATTTCTCAAACTTATGAAAGTTACATTAAAATATTATATCCATTAAATATCCATTAAAGAGTGAATAATGGACATTGGCTAGCCATTGAACACATTTTAATTGTATCTTCAAAGAGAACACTCTCTCGATGCTTTTCCAATTATGTTTTAATAAAAGAAAACAATTAGTAAAAAAACCAAAGAATAATTTATGAATGAATGAAAGACGGAAAAATAAAAGAGGGAATAAAGAAGAAAGATCGGAGAGAGAGAGAGAGAGAGAGAGAGGAAGAAAATATGAGAAAGGGTCAAAATAATGAGAGTAACAATTGTTTGAAATTTGTCTTCGTTTCTTTTTGATGAAATTATTTCTTTTTTTATGGTGTAATTTTATCTATGATATCATTCAAAAATTTTTAAAAATTCTCACAGCACTTATTTGCAGCTAAGCATTTATTTAGTTGTTTACAAAAGAAAATACTGAAGAAAGAATTCAAACTGTTGAAATTTAAAGAAACAAATAAAGAAATCAGTACGGCTAATTTTTAAATCTTTGCAAAATAATGAAATCAATTAATAAATTAATGCCTTCTAATGCAAAATGAAAATATGAAATTCATTTATAAAATTTAAAAAATTACGAAATGAATTAAAATAAAAGAAAAAGGAATATTAAATCATTATAACGATGAAATGAATTAAAAATAAATAAGTCGGAAAAAGTTAAAGATTGAAATTAAACTATTTAATCTATTTGAAATTGCACCTATCCTTAACAAGTACAAATTAATTAGTATAAATAGCTCATATTGTTAGGTGTTTCAAACTAAACGATTCAATATTAAAATGTGACGATAGTTGAATGATTCAGGTAGTTGTAAAGTATAAAAAACTTAACAGACAAAGGAGAAAAAGGTCAACCGGAAATCGTATCAGAATGGAAAATATTATCCGCTGATGGCAATCACGCAAATTTGCCAAACTACAAAGGCAGCAAATGGGAAAACAATCGGTGACTGAAATGAAATTTGTCGAGAAAGATCAACTCCTTCGGGTTGTTTCCATGCAATTTTCACTGATTATTTTCAAATGTCTCTAGAATATATAAGAAAAAGATTTCAATATGAGAGAGACAGAGGGAGAGAAAGAGAGAGGAAGAAAGAAAAGATTAACAATTTATTTCGCGGAAAAATGCATGAAATGTAAAAGTTAAAGAGTGATAGCAAACAGCCAATTAATTAATTGATTAATTTTAAAGGATTTAATTAAAAGGATAACTCCAACAATGTTCCTTGAATCTTTATCGTCTTAAAAATTATCAGATATTTCTCACATTACATATTACTTCCTGTACATTCTTCCTCTATACAACTCATCAAATAAATTTGCATTTATAAAATTAATAAAATGTTTGAAATTTGAACTTCAGCTTTGTTTGGTAATTTCATTTAATTCAAATTTAACTGTTTTCAAGGACTATTTTTTACATCAGCAATGTTTCGCTGAACGGAACTACAATAACCTGAATAATGTTATGGTATGGTGAAATGTTAATGAATTTATTTCAGGTATTTTCTTTACCAAACATATTGCATAGCCAATAATGACAATGACTACATTAAAGTTAATATTGAAATTGATTTCCTAAAATGATATTAGATTATATCATCATATTCCATTTCCTCCCAAAATGTTGAATGTAATTGTTCCAAAATAAATTAAATGACAATCATTGATTGAAAAAAAAAAAAGATATTGCAAAATCTTCATCTCATCTATAAAATTTGTTAATAACAATCAATTTTGATATCTTCATCATTTTATCATTTCAAATGTAATTGAATCGAAATTTTAATATTATATGAAACCATGTGCAAATTTTTAATTCGAAATTATTGCAAAAAAAAAAATTTTTAAGTTGAATAATGATAAATGTATATGTTCTATAAGCATTACAAACGATAATTGAATTGTATCGTATTGCAAATAAATTTTGCAAAAAATGATATCCTAAATGGAAATGAATTCTTTGAATAATTGCTTTAATGATTAAAAAAAAAAAAGAAAAAAAAAAGCCCCGTCGTTTCTTTTCCATCCTTTATGCGCTTTTTGATATGCCAATTTTCTTCGCCCACACTTTCATCAACAATTATTTATTTTTCCGATTTCTAAAAGCCACCGGAAGTTTAATAATTCACCCGAATGCAAACAGAAGAAAAATGATTCCTTTTTAACGCTGCTCTCTTCAAAATTCCATTCTCCTTCTTCATTATTTACAGCTGTCACTAAAATTCTCGTCTAATCTTTATGCAATCAAATATTGAATTACTTATTCGAAGCATTGCAGAAAAAACGAGCAATGTATAATCCATTCATTCATTCATTCATTCATTCATTCATTCATTCA